CCATTACCTTAGGGGCCAAATCCTATAGCAACAGTTTAGTCATGGGACTTACGTAAAATTATCCAAAAAAAATGTTGTGTGTGTGAATTTATCTGACTGGGGTTCCCTGATGTTCATCACATACCCGAAAGGATTATGTTCCCCAAAATAGGTTTTAGTTGTGATTTTATCGGTTTGTTTGTTTATTTTGGGTTGAGAGGAGCTTGATAAATATCAAAGGCTGTAGCTTTTCTTCTTTTGAAGTTCATTTTTTTACTTGTAATTGTGAACTAAAATCTGCAGCCAGAGTGTATTTTGCAAAGCCAAACACAGAGAGACATTTGAAAACCCCGCATTTGGACTGCCCAACCACCTGCACAGCTGCCAACAGCTGCCACGGACCTGGCTCGGGAGTAGATGTCTGGGGTCTAGAGATGTGCGCAGTGTGTCTGGCACCATAACCGGCTCACTAGATGATTTTTACTTTTTGAAACAATAAATAGCAACCCCTGTAATTCTCACCCGAGAATTTGGAAAAGCCTGTGTTCCTGAAAGCAGTTAGGAATCTTCAGGGAGAGTCTCTGGGTGCTTAAATAGACCTAGCACTGACTTTTTTTTTTTTTAACATACATTTTGCAAGGAAATAAAAAAGACTATTAAAAGATGCTATTGATATTGTCATGGAGCAGCAATTAGTTGTAATAATGAATGAACATGTTGAGGCACACATTGAGAATGTGACATGCTTTATAAATGCTAAATAATAATAATGATGTCACTATGCTTTCATTTTCAAACTGTCTTAATTTCATTCTCAGTTTGAGATTGCAGATTACAGTAGTTAATTATACAAATTGGCTCAGAGTGCAACCTTAAATCAGATTTCCATTAAAGTGCATGACTGCAGCAAATTACTTTATAGTGGGAGAGAATGGCACCATCTCTGGTGGGGTGGGGTTTCCCACCACCCCGGTGGTGATTTTCTTCTCAGTGCTCTGTGGTATGCCGCATTTCCTGAACAATCCTGTTTCCCTGAGCTAAACTGCCTGTGTCCCCTGTGTCTTGGAAAAACCCTAACTGCTTTGATAGTATCACTCACATTCTTTCTCCTTCTCTCAGTTTCTCACTGCTTCTCTCTCTGTCTTGCGTTTCTCCTCCCACCCTGTGCCTCCCTCCCCATGCTCCCTCTCTTACTGCTTTGTTTTCTTGCTCTCTAACTTTCACACTCTCTCACTCCCACCACTCTCACATGACCGCTCTATATTTTTCCTGTTCACTCATGCCCTCACTCTTCTCTCTGTCCCTCTCTCCCTCTCCTATCGCTCTATTCCTATCTCCTAAAGAAGGATACTTTCATGACCTGCTTTCACTCAGCTCTGGACAATGAAGGAATAAGCAAAAAGAATCAAGTCCCCACCCCTGGCCTCTCGCATCTGTCACTCTCCACCTCAACCTGCAGCTTCTCAGTTACTTCTGCATTCAGCCTGTAGGTCCTGAATGAGCCAAGTTGAATGACAGCTCTGCCTTCATCCTGGCTGCTCCCTTGTGCTGAGTTCCTGCTCTTTCTTTCTTTTTGTCTCCTGAAACATCCCCTTTTCAAAACAGCCTCTCATCTCAGGGGTCTGCATCATTGGCCCTGCCCTGGGCTTTGTTCTGAGACATCTACACACCCAGCATCGTAATTGCCAGCTTCAGGGCCTGGCTCTCAAATTAGTCTTTGAATTCCTTGAGGACAGTGAGGATACATTATTCATTGCCTTATCCCAAGCACTTAACTCTTTGCCCAGTACTAGTGTGCTGGCCATTAAGTGTCTATTGAAATTC